CCCTTTTGCCATCCTTGACATCACTGAAGGGTTGCGGGAGACACTGTTGAAGAACCCTTGTGACTATACAAATTACTAGTCGGCCCTAGGGATAAGGAGACAGGTGGACCCCTGAGATAGGGTTTAAGAATGGAAATGGGGCAGAGAGGCCTAAGATGTAGCACGAATGTAGATGTGCCCTTCCAAATGCCCACAAGAGCCCCAGTGGCTCGCCCTACCCCACATAAACTTGTGAAGGGGTAACATAGCGATGCACGGTTCAGCAACCACTCATGCAGCAACCACACCCAAGCTTCCCTTCAACCCTAACATATAACTAAAAAAAAAAAAAAAAAAAAAACAGTTCTGTCCAAACCCAGAGGCTACTAAGCCAACACGCCACACCACAGGAGACAAATGTTTCCGTACCCCACGGTGCGCGCCCACCGCACCATTTCCCGACTACAGGGTACTTGTATATATTCCTTTCCCTCCCACCTCTTCCCTATCACATCCAAGTTGTCCCTTCCTGATTCAAGGTATGTTAATCTCTCCGCAAATAGATCTACAAGAGTACTCCAAATAAACAAACAAATATTACAACCTGAGAATACACACTATTAACGCGTGCGGCTTGAACACCCCGCACAAACGGCGTGTCTTGTTAGACATGGCCAGGAAAGACAAGATAGACGTCCTCTGTGTACAAGAAACGCACTTCACACATTCCAAAGTCCCTAAATTTGCACAACAAGACTATTCCACGCAATACCACTCCACACACTCCTCCAAGTCCAGAGGCGCATCCATCCTTGTCCACAAATCACTTTCGTTCGAACTACTCCAAGTTAAAAAAGATTCCCAAGGCAGATACGTCATTATTCACTGCACGATAAACGACATTAACTACACAATTGCCTCAGTGTACAGTCCGAACACAAACCAAAGAAATTTCTTACACAAAGTCCTTTCCAAAATACCTAGCCCACAATTGCAAAATTTGATTTTGTGTGGAGACTTGAACCATATATTCGATCAAACTTTAGACACGACAGTCGCTGGTGACACCAGGAGGCAGGCCGCCCTCAAACCCCAATGCAAAGCTATGACAAAGTTGCTGCTAGAATACAATATCTATGACTCCTGGCGCACAATACACCCAAATGTTCGTGAATACACACACCACTCAAGAGCCCATAAAACCAGCTCACGCATTGATCACATCCTCATTGCTGCGAGTCTCATCACATCCATGATAGACTGCACGATAGGAGACCTGACATGGTCAGACCATGCGCCCGTACGCCTAACCCTACAAGACAAATTTCCCTTCAGGGGAACCTCCCCATGGAAACTGCATGACAATCTTCTGCTTGATGACTCCTTCAAAAATACAATAGAAAAAGAAATCAAACTATACTTCGCAACAAACTACACGCCGCAAACACAACCCCAAAATGTATGGCTCGCCCATAAGGCGGTAATACGGGGACTCCTTATTAGTCGGGCGGCATACCTGAAAAGGAAGGCACGTGAGGAATATACCACTCTTCTCAAAAAACTCAGAGACCAAACAAAGGCCCATATCCTTTCCCCGTCTACTGTAGGCCAGGATGAAATTTACCGCACCACCAAAGCAATAAACGATATATTATTCCAACAGACATCAGATACACTAACCAAACTCAAAATGACACAATACTCTCAGGGCAACAAAGCGGGAAGAGCACTGGCTTCCCTATTAAGGCAACACCAAACCAGATCGAAAATACCGCATGTATTTAACAATGCAGGCATCAAAATTACAAACCCACAGCAAATAAATGACACCATGGCGGAGTTCTACGACAAACTCTATAATCTAGCACAGGATACTAAGACACATCAACCCACAACTCAAGAAATACAAAACTTCTTAACACAGGCCTGTCTCCCCTCCCTTAGCCCAACCCAACAGGCGATGATCCAACAACCGATCACCGCTGCTGAGATAGAAAAAACTATAGACGCCCTACCACAGGGAAAGGCACCAGGCCCAGACGGCTTCACGAACATTTACTACAAATGTTTCAAATCCACTTTAGCCCCGCAAATAGAGAAAACATTTAACGCCATCATAACGACAAGCTATATGCCGTCAGAAATGCTGATAGCCCACATTGCAACGCTGCCCAAACCGGGGAAGCCACCTACCAAGCCCCAGAACCTGAGACCGATTTCTTTACTAAACACCGACACGAAGTTACTAGCGAAAATTTACGCAAATAGGCTTGCTTCTATAATCCCTTCGGTGATACACACGAACCAGGTGGGGTTTGTCAGAGGGAGACAGGGCTCGGATGGCACCAGGAAACTACTAGATCTGATGTCAAGCGCGCGGGCCTCCGGGAGACCTAGTGTGTTCCTTTCGCTTGATGCTGAGAAAGCGTTCGACAGGGTGCACTGGGGATTCCTTGAGGCTACGCTAGCAAAATTCGGTTTCCCACCCAATTTCATGTCCCTACTGACAGCGCTATACTCCACACCGTCGGCTCATGTAGCCAATAGTGGATTTATATAAAAAAAATTTAGCATTACAAATGGATCGTGTCAGGGGTGCCCACTATCCCCGCTGCTGTACATCCTGATCCTGGAACCATTAGCGCAACATATAAGATTGAACCACAATGTCAAGGGTATAAAAATAGGCCCTGGGGAACACAAACTCACAATGTTTGCAGACGATATCATGCTTTCCATAGAATCACCACACACATCACTCCCACCTCTACACGACATCCTGACCGATTACAGTGCATGCTCATACTACAAACTCAATATTTCCAAAACGCAAGCAATGGGGATGCACGTGTCATCCCGCACTTTGCAAGATTTAAAAAAGGCCCACGCATACGACTGGCGGACAGACAACCTAACTTTTTTAGGAGTTGCATTTACAGCCACATCGCAGGCCATGTTCCAGGCAAATTACACTAAACTAGTGAATAAACTGAAAAGTCAAATTATGGGTTGGGCAGGCAAATACGTCTCCTGGCTGGGACGAATTGCAGCAACAAAAATGATACTTCTACCCAAACTCCAGTACTTATTCCGTACATTACACATTCAACTCCCACACAACTTCCTCCGGGAAACACAGACCCTCCTCAACGAGTTCATATGGAACAAGAAAAAAGCGAGAGTAGCAACATCCGTGCTACGCAAACCCTTCAAGCAGGGGGGTCTGGGGATCCCACATTTACAGGCGTATTACTCGGCATCAATTCTCAGCCCATTAATCACAGCATTCCACCAAGATCCCCAGCCAGAATGGCTCGTCATTGAGTCCACTTACACAGAAGGACAAGATATCACCACACTCGCATGGTTACCACGCGCCCACAGACCCAAATACAGAAATATGCTACCAACAACTAGGTTATCCCTGTCCTTATGGGACAAACACCAGACCAAATCCTGGCCGTCGGAGTACCCGTCGCCCGCTATGAAACTGCAGGCTCTCACGTCACTCATACCCTACTTTAACGCAAAAACATGGACCTCCCATGGCGTGATACACCTGCACCAGCTACTCGACAAAGGCAACCTGCTCTCGTTTGAGCGCCTACAAACTGAATATCAAGTACCAAAGACACTACACTTCTCTCACATGCAGATAAAATCATGGCTTTATAAATGCCACCCCTCAAAGGCCCAATCCGAACAATCTCCGAAGTTGTCCATGGCGGAACAAATGTGCCTACTAACCAAGCCGCCAAATAAACCTATGTCTCAATTATATCATGGAATCACCCGCAAAGCATATCCCATAAAACCCCCGTTCATCGCAGCCTGGGAACGAGACCTAAACATGAAACTAACCGACACACAGTGGCTCCACATCTTCTCAGCTAATAAAAACTTAACGATGTGCGCCTCACACGTAGAAATATCCAGGAAAATACTATATCGATGGCACATTGTCCCAACCAAGCTAAAACACATAAACACCCAATCAACAGGTAAATGCTGGAGATGCATGGACCAACCAGGAACCACATACCACATCTGGTGGTCATGCCCTAAAATTGTACCCTTTTGGGCACAAATCTCCAAACTGATAAAAACCACTACAAAGATAGTCATGCCGCCTCAGCCTGAATTAAACCTTTTACAATTGTTCCCTCCAAATATAGCAATATCTGCTAAATATCTCATGTACCATATTCTGATAGCGGCTCTACAACTAATAGGCAGGAACTGGCTGTCGAGACACACTCCGCAATTGTCAACTTGCACCCAAATTATAGAATCAGCCAAACGGTACGAAGTCATGGCTAGGAAAATGAGACCCGAAAAAAAATTTTGGGTAACGGCCTGGGAAATGTGGGACACACACAAAGTCGAATCATCCTCAAACAGTAAGGAACCAGACTGCCAATGCGAAACAAGCCCTAGAACACCACACACATAGAGGTTGACTAACATAGACAAATGTGCAACTGAATACCTTGACAACACCCCCCCTTCGTCCCTCCTCCACATCACCCCCCGTTCTCTTTTTTCTCTATTCCCCATTAAGTATTATTATGTTATCACTATACTTGTTGTGTTATGATATATATATCCAAAACAAAAAAAAGGTGCAATGGTTTCAACGAACCGACATCCTACTGACGATAGGGCCATGTAAGGCCACGCACTGTATCTGTTTACAATGGAAACTGTTTGGATGAATTCTGTACGCAATTACTACGACAAGCAACTGCATGTATGACATACTATATGATACAGCCATAACAAATGTCTAGAAATGTCTGATGTAACATGCACCGCTTCAAAACTACAAATAAAAAAAAACAAACAAAAAAAAAAAACAAGGAAGGATTAACATCAAATGTACACTGGTAACAGATGTTAAACCTGAATCCTTGAAGAATATTAAACTTCATAATAAACCTTAACACTGTAAAAAAATGCTAAAAAGAATATGCAATCAATTTAGAAAAATGGTGTTAAAATGCAATCAATTTAGAATAAGGGTGTTACAAGTTTACTTGGTTTTATGGAGAGACAAACATGATCAGATTTGTAAACAATACCATATACTTTATTGTATACACATATTTACACATTTGTGTAATCTCCTAGATCGGTATTTGCACATAATAATGGGCGGAGATGGGAAACCAAATGTGATGACAGAAAATGAATCTTACTATATATTTATACGGTTTTATATAGTTGAAAAGCCAAGCTACAACTTACAGAACAATCTGAATGTTACTGTAACTAACAATCAGGCTGTGTTTGTAACATATTCTGCGTTTGCCTTGATATCACACTGATTGCTTATTGAGGGAGTATGTCCACTCTGTCAGGAATTAAAGCTTTATCTTATTCTGTGAAATCAGTTGAATGTAACGTATGAAAGTGTTCTGAGGTAATATTTATTTACAGCATACATGTTCCACAATCCAGGCGTTTCATTGTTAGTCAGTGACTGAAATCTAGAATGTTAGCTCTAGTGACACATCAGAATTCTTGTTTGTAATAACTTACTTTTCATCTTTCGAATAAAGTGACTTTTATATCAGTCCATGTGAAAGCTAGAATGAAACACACTGCTTGTGGAACCGTCACCTTGGCTCACGCTCTAAAGTGCAGTTTGAGGCTATTGTAGACTAGAAAACATGGGATAGTCTCAAGATACGTTGTAAAATCCCTTACATATTTATACAATTCTCAACATTTTAAGGTCACCTGTAACCATGTATCAGGTACACTATAATGTTAGAGATCAAGGAGATTGGTTATTCCTGTAAGAAACATGAACTTGTATGTTACCACATACTAAGGAAGTAACAGGTGAAAAAGGCATAGTAATCAAGTAACTGACAAATGAACACATATACATCTTTCAGAATAAGTTTTCCTTGAAAGTATATTTCTGAAGACCCTTTAAAAAAAAAAAAAAAAAGTTAGTTTTAAGCAATAGGCTATTTAAGAGATTTGGGCATTAGTTTATCTATTAGGGGCTTATTGTACTCTGAAAGCCTCTGGCATAAAACATTGCCCAACTTTGACAACAAATCTGGCTTTCATACATTATTAACTTTTTAAATCAGTGCTATATGACATGTTCATTTATAGTCCTGTGTTGTCATCCTGTGTATTTTCACAAGGGATATAACAAAGTTATCTTGACTATTCAGGTCTGTACGGTTTCCAGTCTTTTATCAGCCTTGTGAAAGAATGCCATTGGACAGTTTATAGGCCCAGAGTGGTATGAGAATCTCTGCAGGAAGCAAGGCATGGCCTGCAGTAAATAGCACATATATCATCAACTTGTGGGCAGCAGGAGAAAGGTATTAATGCAACTTAGGGGTTTTACAATTATTTTCCTACTGTTGTGCCATTCTCTAATAAGGGAATGAGTTGTCTGAAAGAAAATGCAGTTTGACAACAAAAATTTGGATGGAATTTCTTTTTAGGATAGTTGTGTGGTGTTCCTTGTAAAATAAAACGTGTGAAGAGTTTTTTCCACCCCACTAACCAGGAGGTAGATCTCTTGCAGCGATTAACCAGAGCAAAAGCATTTGGAGGATTGTTAGGCTAGACTGTTCATTGTCATTGTGTGATGGTTTGTCTCCAGCAATAGAAGCCAAATCATGCATTGTTCACTTCACTGAGCAGTAACTGCAGCTCCTGGGTCACCATGCTCTGCGTTCCAAAGCCGATAGAACTCGGTGAAATCAACATAAGGTTCCACTCTACCGTCCTCATCTGGTTGCAGGGAGGGAGAAGGGCGAGAGCGGAAGAGACCACTATCCGAACTAGAGCTGCTGCTTTGAGTATGAGTGTTGGTGGACTGAAGAGTAGCACTTGGTGATTGTCTAAAAGATGTGACAGTAAAAATGATAAAAATGTAAATACATTAAAATATACAGTTTCAGTAATAACACATTATTAATTTCATAGTGTCCTGGGTCCTATCCTATACTTTTGAATGATCTCAATCTTAACCCCGTAAGGACGGAGCCAAATGTACACGCTGTGAACAAAACAAAATTTAAACAAAACCTGGCATTTGCGCTACATGTCTGTCCAACTGTAATTCAACTCTTTCATAGTAAATGTACCCACCCTTATTATATATCATTTTATTCAGGGGAAACAGGGTTTTCATTTAATATCAAATATTCAGTTATGAAACATAATTTAATATGAAAAAAATGGGAGAAAATACGATTTTTTAAAAAATTTTTAGTTCTACATGACATTTTAACGGTCGGTGTCATAATACTGTTTGCTTTTACTGCAATAAAATACACATATTTGTATTCAGTAAAGTCTCACGTGTAAGACAGTACCCCCTATGTACAGGTTTTATGGCGTTTTGGGAAGTTACAGGGTCAAATATAGCACGTTACATTTGAAATTGAAATTCGCCAGATTGGTTACGTTGCCTTTGAGACTGTATAGTAGCCCGGGAATGAAATTTACACCCATAATGGCATACCATTTGCAATAGTAGACAACCCAAGGTATTGCAAATGGGGTATGTCCAGTCTTTTTTAGTAGCCATTTGGTCACAAACACTGGCCAAAGTTAGCGTTAGTATTTGTTTGTGTGTGAAAAATTCAAAAAACGCCAATTTTGGCCAGTGTTTGTGACTAAATGGCTACTAAAAAAGACTGGACATACCCTGTTTGCAATACCTTGGGTTGTCTACTATTGCAAATGGTATGCCATCATAGGGGTAATTTTCATTCTTGGGCTACCATAGGGTCTCAAAGGCAACGTAACCAATCTGGCGAATTTTAATGTGTAAAAAATGAAACGCAAGCCTTATGTTTGACGCTGTAACTTTTGAAAACACCATAAAACCTGTACATGAGGGGTACTGTTGTACTCTGGAGACTTAGCTGAACACAAATATTTGTGTTTCAAAACAGTAAAAAGTATCACAGCAATAATATTGTCCGTGTAATGCTGTTTGTGCGTGAAAAATGCAAAAAACGTAACTTTTACTGGCGATATCATCGTTGTAATACATTTTACTGTTTTGAAACACTAATATTTGTGTTCAGCGAAGTCTCCCGAGTAGAACAGTACCCCCCATGTACAGGTTTATGGTGTCTCGGAAAGTTATAGGGTTAAATATAGTGCTAGCAAATTAAATTCCCTTTACTTTCGGCATGGGTTGTCAGGCAGGTCCTGCTAATTGTAATTAATTAAGATACCTAATTATGTAAAAATATTACATAAATATATATGTAGAATTAATATATGTCTATATATATACGTATGTGTATATATATGTATATATCTATATAATTTTTAAAAATATTTTTATTTATATATAGGTATATATATAGTGATATATACGTATATATTTATGTATATAGATATATATATTATTTTGTTCTACGTGTATTTTGATATATATATATATATATTAATTTCACAATACAGTTAGAACGAAATAACACACATCTATATATTTTTTAATTATTTTTAATTATTTTTGTAATTTTATTTTTTAACGTATTTACATTTTAATTTTTTTTATAATATATATAAATATATATATAACAATAATTATATATATATTTAATCAGTATCAGTCTACGTGTAATTTGATAATATATATATATAATTATATATATATTAATAGTAAAATACACCTAGACGGTGTACGTGTGTGTATGTATATGTGTATATATATATATATATATATATATACTTAGATCATATATATATGTAATATATATATGATCTAAGTATATATTATTTTTTTTACACTATTTATTTATTTTATTTTTATTTTCAGCCATCAGGGGGACCACCTGTCATTACAGGCAGTCCCCCTGCTGGCAATGCAGGAGGCAGCTACCCCCGGCCATGTGATTGTGGGGTCCTCGCAAGGACCCCACTCTCACATGGCCGGGGGGCTTCGAGGAGGACGGGCGTGCTGCGGGGGGCTCCCTGGGAGTCCCCCCCTCCGCGATAGCCGGTGTGGGATCGCCGGCGACCGGGTAAGTACCGAAAGACCGGAGGGCGTACTATTACGCCCGGCGGCGTTTAGAGCCGCCTATAATAGGGCGTAATAGTACGCCCTCTGGTCTGAAGGGGTTAAAAGATTGGCAAACAATACACTAAGGCGTCATAGCAGTAGTGGACAAAAGGTAGATCCCCATATGTTGTAGAACTACAACTCCCATGATGCTTTACACGCCTTTAGAATGACAAAGCCTCATGGGCACCCCTGCATTATAGTATTGTTATAATGAATGGTACTGGGAGGGGAGAGCATAATTAATATTTGCCATGAAATTAGGTGTTAATAGGTGTATTACAAAATTGTTAGGTGATTTAAAAAAATAAATTACACTACGCTAGGGAGGGAACGAGATTGCCAACTGACCATTTGCATCCAGAGTACAATGAAGGTGGTCAAACTGTTCATCTTTAGATGGAGCAGGCAGGAGATGGACAAGCTGTCCATTTGCTGACAGACCAGCCAAAGTGTGGTCAGCATTTCAATCCACAGACAAAGCAGTCAAGGGGTATTCAACCTGTTCACCCGCAGAGCGAGCATGTTGGAAGTGGGTGCTAATCTAAAGACAGGGCAGGAATGGAGTGTGCAACCTGTACACATGCAGACATTCTGAAAACCATAAGTCAAATTGTGTACTAAAACGAATGCTAGACAGAACATTATTATTATTATTTTATTATTTATATAGTGCCATTAGATTCCGTAGCGCTGTACAATGGTTGGACTAACAGACATGTAATAGTAACCATACAACTGGACGTACAGGAACAGAGAGGTGGAGGGCCCTGCTCAATGAACTTACATTCTAGAGTGAGTATACTAGCGGAATAGTGACACGAAGGGTAAAAGTAGGGGTACGAAGTAAGTTGTTAGAAAAGTATTCACTGAGGGCTTAGTATGTAATTTTGACAGTTGCAGGAGAGGAGTCATGGGGGTAAGGGATAAAAACCTGCTAACAGTTTAATTGATATGCTTTCTTGAAGAAGTGAGTTTTCAATGATTTTTTTAAGTGAGTGGAGACTGGGTGAAAGTCTTATGGAGAAGGGAAGGGAGTTCCACAGAGGAGGTGCAGCCCTGGAGAAATCTTGGAGGCAACGGACTGAGGATATACGTAGGTCTTTGGCAAAGCGCAGGGGCCTCAACGGGACATACTTGTGTATTAGGGAGGATAGGTAGGTTGGAGCAGCATTATGCAGGGACTTGTAAGCAAGCACCAGAATCTTAAATACTTTTTTAAAAGAAGGTTAACGTTTAATTATCTATTGTTAAATATAAGCCCTGGATCTGAATCCTAAAGTGGCATTCCTTAAAACACAATGTTCTGATCAATTCTATCCTTTGGGGTAAGGCAATAAACTGAATGCACTGTATTCTTCTCAACACAAAAGAAAATATCTTTGTACAAACGTGTACAGGTTGCTACTAAGCACTGTTTACTTATACCTGTAAAAATAGTGTACATAAAGTGAGTCAAATATTATTCACAAGATTAAAAAATGATTGCACGTAATCATGCAAGATCAAGATTTGCAGTACTGGCCTTCTTTTCACAGACTCAAGAGATTTTCATACCCTCATACAATAGGAAGCTGTACCCACCAGATCTGATTCCTTCCTGTCCCCCGAAAGTCTACCCATCCCCCTACCTTCCTTCCCTTCTAATATTAGGAGAACTCCAATATCTATGTAAACGCAGAGGCTGTAATTATACACTTAAACCGAGCAGTAAGAGGCTCTCATGATTCACATTTAAGTTAAATTAGTAATGAATAGGACTGTAGATATGTTTTACCTGGATATCCTTAGCACTGACACTCACATCTGAACACAGTATCATGTCAGAGTTTATAAATACTCTGATACTGTTCAACTTACTATGGTAATGCCGTATGTACAACTCAATATACATTGATATACAAAAGAAATTGAATTCCATTAATCCAAGTTAATTGAACTTGTATCTTTACAGATAACATGCACGTTTTATATAAGAAATGTTCGAAAAAGACTTTAAAGCAACGTTTAAGTAGTTGTTCTGGTGAGTTTAGTCAGTCCCTTCAGGCTATTTGCAGTAAACACAGTTTTTTTTTTCCCAGAGAAAATGCAGTGTTTATATTACAGCCTAAGGATACCTCCACTTGCCACTCCTCCTATGATGCCAGGAATACTCTAGCCTGGTTCCTAAGTAATGAAGCAAATCTTTTAGCAACAGGTTATCCTCTTACCTGGGCCCTGCCATGCTCTTGGTATTCTGTCACCTATCCAGCTAGATGACTTTCTTCTGACAGAAGCAGATTCAGTAACTATTCATTGGTTGAGGTCGTCAGCTGACCACGCTCAGCCAATGAATATAATTCTGTGCACAGAAATAAGGATTGACGATAGCAAGCCCTGGGGTGGCTAGTGATGACACTGTGGAGGTGGAGTTACAACTCCAGCAGCAGATGGGTTAAACTCTGTATGTGCAGCATTTCAAAATAAAAAGTGCAGCACATACAGATTTCAAGCACCATAACCACTTTAATTCACTGAAGCGGTCATGATGCTTTGAATAATCCTTCACATTGCTATCCAAACATGAAATATTAACATATTAAACTGGAAATAGTTCCCCTTGCAATGCTGTTATCATTATCTATGAATTTCTCAAAAGTATATAACAAAACCAGTTCTGATATAATTGTTAAACTAATGTGAAAGTTATTATTCTAAATATAAAATTTTCACCTGGTTGCACATATTTGAGATAACCAGCAATAATGAGTCATTATTTAATTAAAATCTGTATTTTTGAAGTAATTTATAAAATGCCTCCCATGTGGTTGTTCACTCATGTACACATTATGGAAAATTGCACTAAAAATTCCTTATTTCGCATTTTATATGGTGGATTTTAAAAAGTATTTTTAATTTATTTTGCAAACTAAACGTATTTCCTAAACTTTTATGATCTACTGAGAAAAAAACAACATATAATCTGTGAGGGTAATGTTCAGAAAACAACAACAACCAGTGATATTGGTGTTGAAATGCAGTGAGTATGGCCTACAACAAGGACCTCAAACTCTGACCATACTGATATTTATGACCTACAAATCCCCGAATTATTTGAATGCCATAGATGCATAGAGAAGAATGAGAGTTGTAGAACTGGGGAACCAGAGTTTGAGATGCCTGGTCTAGAAGCTAAAGGGTTAATATCTCATCTACTACAACAGGGAGGTATGGGAGACAGCCTGTCCATCTACCTTCTGAGTATCAGGGTATCCTGGGTAACTATCATTTATTGTTGTTTATTTTTATGCTTTTTTGTAACACTGTACATGCTAGTTCTGGTGGCAAATAAGCTGCTGTTGAGGAGCCAAATTCCTAAACTGTGTGTTAAAATTTGCTTTATTTTACAGAAGAAACAAACAGCTCTCAACATTTGCAGGATGAAACCATTATATTTTTGTGAATTACTGAACTGGAATGTTTTAGCCGCTAGCCACGGGCCACATTTTTTTCCCCATATGGCTCTTACCCACTATTAGGGCTTATTTCCATTTAGCATGTTCCATTCCAATGCAATACTAATAGTAAGTTTATTTACTTCCTGTTTTGCCCATACAACTTATGTTGAACAGTTCCCAATATACATATATATTGTCTATCCTTCCATCTTTCAGTCACAGTTATCTTTAAAAAAAAAAAAAAGAAAAAAAAAGAAAAGACCTTTATATTTGCAGGGCCTATGCCACCAGCATAAAAATTACTTGCCACTGCCAGGCATAACATACTCACTAAGAGTGAGTTTCTCCTTGCCAGGGCTAATTTTCCACTTGCCAAACACTAATAGCGATTTATGTTACGATATTTATGTTTTAACACATCAACAATACATTGCAGTTCTTGTCTTTTTCAGTTGTGCATTTTTAAACGTACTATTCATCATCCATACACCGTTCCATGTTATATATATATATATTAACTATCATAGAACTCTCACTGCATTACACCTACCATTACAAATTTAGATGCCCTGTTACACTGAATAAAGACACACCCCTCCCTCCACAAGCACTGTCTGGCTCCAATTTCTTATTTTCTGTAAAGTCATTGACAGGGGAACTGCAGTTGGAATAAATAAAGCACTGGGGCCACTGTAACAATCACAGTCCCAATAGGGAGGGGATGAGCAGGCAATACATTTTTCCCATGTGTATAGCTCCCATGTGTATTATCTCTGAAGGTCTTCTCGATCTTTGTTACTTCCTCCATGCACACCAATGGAAAAAGGATGATTTCTGGAGGGAACCAAACTCCAAATCTGCAGTATCACCCTTGTCTGTGTACACTGTTTTATGTGAATACACACAAGAGTTTGCTTTAAGCAGCAGCCATCACAGGAAAATATATCACATATTTACTATGTAAACCGATATTAACAAGGTACATGTTTCACAAGCTCTATACATTCTTGAATGTTTCCTGGAAATCATCATGATGAAATGTGTGCTGCAGGTTATGTGGGAACAGTGCAGTAAAGTGATAGATGCTTTATATTACACTTGGGAATCATGTGGGACTGTATACTATATGGTAGTCTCACAAATATATAGCTGCCAAATAAGTGCCATTGGAGCTATGCTTTATTTGTCTTTAGTGTGTATATGCTGGGTGGAGATTAAGTACCCTGTGACTAGTTAGATTTACTTCCCATACTTTGGGGCTTGCTTTGAGAGCCTGTTTACTTCTGTTGAGCCCTGATGTAAATAAAAAATATTAGCGCCATAAGGTCTCTTAGCACCAAAAAAATGTATTCCTGACACTAGTGTTAAAACCCACAATCTAGCCCTCCTGATCTCCCTAAATATAGTAAAATCTTATCTGCATTCAAGTCTGCAGCTGATGACTGCCCCTGATCTAGCTGCTTGGCTGACATCATCAGAAGTGATTCTCTGAGCCAATCACAATGCTTTCCCATAGGACTGGCAAAGACTGTCAATGAGGCAGATCAGGGGAAGAGCCAGCACAGGCCAAACACAGCCCTGGATAATCAGCATTTCCTCACAGAGATGCATTTAATCAATGCATCTCTATGAGGAAAGTTCAATGTCTGCATGCAGAGGGTGGAGACACTGAATGGCAGTCACTGCCCCAAGAAGCACCTCTAGCAGTCATATGAGGAGTGGCCAGAGGAGGTTTTCCTAGGCTGTAATGTAAAAACTGTATTGTCTCTGAAAATACAGTGTTTACAGCAAAAAGCCTGGAGGGAATGATTATACTCACCAGAACAAATACAATAAGCTGTAGTTGTCCTTGTGCCTATAGTGTCCCTTTAAAGTCACATAGTACTTTGAGAGAATATACAGTACAATCGGAATAGAATCATATCAGTAGGCAAAAGAAACTGACACTCTCAGGTCTGCACACCAAAAGCTGCTGACAGTGTGCCTGGACACAACCTATAACGGTCTACAGCAGGCTTCCCCAAACTCCAGCCCTCCAGATGTTGCTGAACTACAACTTCCATGATTCTCTAAATGAAATAGATGGACTGAGAATCATGGGAGTTGTAGTTCAGCAACATCTGGAGGGCTGGAGTTTGGGGCAGCCTGGTCTACAGGAATGGATCCCGTTGGATGCACCAGCTCTGCTGGTGGGGAATATGCAATATATCTTTGCCCACTTGTTTATTTATACATACTTTTACTGCAGTCAGAGGTAAGTGTCATGTCTATAGTGGCAGATTATAACTTATCTTGTATTGCAGGAAAAGGAAATAACTGGTGGTTTTGCAAACTAACTCACCAAAGATCCCTGTGAGATTCACAGATGTTATGGTTGTTTTTTTTTTTGCTTAAATCGAATTTCTTTAAATAAAATACTTCTGGATGAAAATCTTACATTTTTGTTAAATGTATTCCATTAATTGAAGTTATTTGCACTTGTGTCTGCACAAATAACATGCACCTTCTCACAGAAATAAATGTTATAAAATTAACAAAGTTCAGAAAAAGATCTTAAACCCATTGTTATTCTGCAAATCTATGTACACACAATAAACAGCTTACCACAAAGAATTATTCCAAGTACAATGACCAATTCAGTTATTTGAAGTGGTCATAGTGCTCTGCAGTCATATTTTTTTAATATGAAACTCTGCACTTACTAATATGTTTTATATTGCTGTCAGAGGTGTAACTCCACCTCCGGCAACAGTATTTATATGTCATGAGCCAACCCAGAACAAGAGTTCCAAGCTGGCTAATGTCAATTGTGTGCATATTCTTTGTACAGAGGTTCATTCATTCTAGCTGACATTCTCTGCCAATGAATGACAGGTGGGACTGGCATGTAACTTCTGCAGAAGCTAGATACATATAACCCAGCATCAGAGAAGGCTTGGAGTCTGGCAGTGACCCATGTAAAAGGGCAAACCCAAAATGGCATTCGTTTTTTTTTTGTTTTTTTTTAAACAATAAATTTTTAAGGATTCAAGTAACACTTTATGGTGTTTTTTTTTTTTTCTTTAAACATACTTTGTTTAACTACTTCAGTTAACAAGCATTGATGTTTCAGCAAATATATGATTGTTAGTTCACCTTGCATTATCTGTGTATTGCTAGTGGTATATAACAAAATCCATTCATATAACTGTTAAACTAATCTTAAAAGTTATTTTTCTAAATATGAAATGTTCATCTGTTGAGAAATATTAAATATAACAACCAGCAATTAATCTTTAGGTTTAAAAACCATGATTTAAATCAAATGCACCCTGACTCACACATTGAAATATTACTGATAATTTAATTCTTCAGTCTGAAAAGACTACAAAAACTGAATGTGTGCTCAAAATAAAAATATAAATGTATTCCCTTTTTAAGTTCTCCTAGAGAAGAGATCTGGAGAGGGATTTCATTTTCTTGGTTGGTTTGTGCTTAAAGGGAAACCATAGTGCCAGGCACCATAGCTTCCCTCTCTGTCAAGCACCCTCTGTCAATCCCTTGGTGCAAAACCCCTTCTGTCGCTTACCTGGGTCCTGTGTAGAAGTCCCTCAGTGCTGGATCGGGTCCATCTTCTCTCCTCCTCGGCTTGCTGGCGGGTGAGTCCTAATGTGCATGCGCGGCAATGGCTGCGCTCACAGTTAGGATTTCACATTAGGAAATGATGGTACCAGGAAGCAGTAGGTAAATAAATGAAAAGGTATATATATAAAAATTTACTATTTATTTAACCAAACAAAAAGACAATAACACAGTGATAAAATACTTTTAGGAGTCCCACTTGATGCATTTCGCCTCTCCAAGGCTTAGTCAGAACTGTCTGAAGAGATATATATACCTTTTAATTTATTTACCTACTGCTTCCTGGTACCATCATATCGTAAGGTAGGGATTATACAACCCACGCTGTTTACACCAGAGCAGGTCCTGCTCTGGTAAATGTAAGTACATTACCTTATTTGTCATCTGATTTTCCATCAGTACTTACTTCACCATTGGAATTTTTTCCTGTATTTATCTCCACATATATCCTGCACACTGCACCTTTTTGAAGCATCTGTGGCGACTGCATCACTATATATCCTTAGACAGGGATTGTTCCGTACATGCGCAAAACCGCAGAGCTCTAAGTTAGCGCAATAAAATGTGAGTGGAAGTGACCTAAGGTTATCTACTTATCACATATGCGCTTTACATACTGTGCTGCACTAATATTTTGTCTTTTCTTCTCATTTTGAGGTCAATTGTGTATAATCATTTGAAGACCTATGTACGTATAACATTTTGTACACATATACTGGGCGTGGTTTACTCTGTTTTTTCTTGAAATTATCTGGGTGCCAATAGTGTCCCTTTAAGTCACAAATGCATGCAACTGGAAGATGTAATTATCAGGGAAATATTATTGGTGTGTGCTTGCCCAAGTCACTGTTGCCAGTAAGGTGTATGAGGGTGCAAAGAAGTCAAAGGACATAGGAGTGATGGAGTGAGTACATGATGTTCAGGCATCAACATATACTATGTACTACCCAAATAATGCCCTCCCCATCTATGAATACCTTACTGGGTTTGTTTTAAATTCAAAGCAGGTATTTTAAAAGAGACAGATGTGGTATTTGTTCATATGTCTATTAGCTGCCTACGAAATGGCTACGAGATACATATAATAATGTTCTGAACAGACTTAAAATGTTTTATACATGTATGCATGCGCAGGTGAGTTGTTGGTCGTGTGTGAGCGTGTCCATGCATGATTGTAAACGTGTATTTAAGTGGCTACACATACGTATGTGTGTGTAGGCGAGTGGTTAGTTATGCATGTGTGCTTGAGAGAGAGAGAGAGAAGCTAGTTATATGTGAAAATATGTGGTTAATTTGCTATGTGCAAGAGAGTAACTTATTGTGTAACTGCAAAATATGGTTAATTGAGTATGTGTATCAGAGAGTACTTTGGTGAATATAGTGTGCATGACAGTACAGCTAATTAAGTGTGAACAACTTTTCATAATTTATTATGCTTGTCTTCTAGAATTCAGGGAAACAGAGTTCAGATGTCATTCCGTCTAACAAAGTGTAAATATTCAGTTCCTCTGAGGAAAAATGGAGGGGGCTGTAGAACACTTTAAGATAAATTGTTTATCTTTTATTAACAGAAGACAGTTTATTATAATTTCCGGATTGCTATCAAACTGCACAACTGACGGGAAATACTTACAGGGTTGAAGTGGTCCCATCCAAAGTTGAACTGCTACCGTGTGTTCCATTCACCAATGTTCCTTGTGATGGCATCACCAATGAGAGTGTGACACTTGTTTTGCTAGTGTTCTGTGCATTGGAGTATGGCACAGAAACAGGATATATCCGGCCACCTAGTAACAGAGGAAATGGGCAAAGGTAAATACAAGAACGTGTTTGAAGTGAAGTGAAGATACAAAAAAAACCCCAACAGTTTGGTACCTTGAGTAGGTGTGAGGGTGGGTTGTGTAACCTCCTCCAGTGGGTAGCCTAGATTTCGTACAAGCAGAGTCATATCTTCATGTTTTGAGCAGTACTTTGCACGTTCCCCACCACTGACAAATGTGTCATGGTGAATTCGCTTAACCCTCTCCACAACTGCTTGTGCCACGTCATCCAACGATACCTGCTTGGCAAACTCTGTAGCAATCATTGCTGCTATCTCCTATGGTTATTGACAAATTGGAGAAACATGAGGAAAAACGTATCAAATAGGAAGAAAAACTAACAAATTTCATATTCAAAAGTACAAGCAACATTCACTTGTAAAGGCAAAAAAAAGAAAGAGAGAAAGATAGTCTAGTAGAAAACATGCAAGTATTTAATTATCCATTTTTATAATTGGAGGTATATCTAAAAACAGTTTGAAAAAGCTACAGTTCTCTTGCCTGGAGCATTTGCAAGCCCTCCCCTTTTCTCCCAGCCCAGACTTTCTATGGTATAGTTTTAAAGTTAACTACCAAAATGTATTTATATTCAAGACATATGAGGTACTTAACTACGAGAACTAAATATATTTTGAATTCTTTTTCTATAGTTGCACTGGATGTGTAAAACTGACAGGCCGCCAAAAATTTTTTAACAACATTTTATGTTGTATTAAGTATACATGTAGGATATTAAAAGAAACCCTTAAATTATGGTGAAACAAACACACAAAGCAAATTCTAGGGCTTTTTTTTTAGTTCAGGACTTGAACAATTGCCTATGACCTTAAGGGGTTAGCTTTAGATTTCTCGAAGTTTAATATACATCTTTTAATACATGCAAAAATTACGAAAATAAAAAAGATAATGTATGTCAAATAAATGCCATACTAAAAGTAAACAGTAATAGTCACTTTGAATTTAGGCTGGATTGAATGTATATATTTCTAGCAATTTAAAACTTGGGTATGGAAATATTTAATTCTTATAGCCAGATGCCATTGGGATGATTCTTTAGAGTCCAAGATGGGATTCTGAATAAATATGAATGTGCTATAATATGGTTGACCAGTAGGTGTCTGCAGGCCTTAAAGTGAACATGTCATGACAATTTCAGCAGAAGGGTGAAGTTTCTTACCATTTAAATCAACCTATGCTCAAAGAACAAACGGTTTTAAGCTCTAAAGTTTAGACATGTTAATTAATGGGAACCCAAAGCGGTGATCATACACAGGCTTATGCTACTGAGTTTGGTTCATGGTCTGCATGATACAATGAGACATCAAGTCAGCTAGCCAAAACTTCTAAGACATGACACAAAAATGACAGAAAATTTTCCCAGTAAGTGGGGAGCAGGAGACTAGCAAATATTGCTGATGCATGCCTTCTCAGGAAAGAGGAAGTTAGCTAGAACTCAAGGAACGGACAAGCAGTTGGCCATGTGCCTTGGCTTGGTGTCCCAACCTTGGCTCAACTTGTGGAGTGATGGAACCAGAAAAAAAAGGAAATGCAATGGCAGAACCTCTGAAGCAACAGAATAAGAGATTAGAGAGAAAACATTCCAGTAAGCTTTTAAATATGCTTCTTGTCTTTTTACAAATGGCCAACAGCAAATTAAAATAAAAAGGATCTGAGAAATACGCAACTTTACCAACAGGATGCAGAATGTTATGTTTGCGTAGTTTGTAAGACATGATTTCAAACAGAAAACCAAAGACAAATCAGCTCTATTGTCCAACACAGATACTGCATCCATCAGTTGTTTTTCAAAATCATGTGCTCTGAAGCATTTTGTGTCAGGTGATTTATAAGAGCAATCGACAGTTGCAAAATAGTGAGCACTGAGTTATATAACAGACAATCTGACCTAAGGTGCATAAAAGATGGCTGTTATAAAAGGGGAATAGGCAAGTGATTTAGTCACAAACATCTTGGGAATAATTCTCGGAGCAGGCTGATGTCGGGGAGTTTGGGGCTCTCAGATATTCGGAACCTCTTATTTTTGCTGCCCATTATGTCAGCTGGTGGGGGCAATGAAGTTGGCGTTCTCCTGTATGGTATAGCCAGGGTAAACCGTTATTTTAGTCATCTCTGCACAGAAACGTGTCCGTTTAGTCTGCTCATCAGCCACGCCCCCCTCGAATCAATGACATTTTTATGCCATAATACTCACTTCAAAACTATTTATTTTTTATATTACAAGATTTAAAGTTAGGGACATATGTCTCGTAGGCTGCCAGATTAGTGAGTTACTAAACAGCAATTTCCTTAGTTCAATATCAAGAGAGGAGCTGTAGAGATGGTGAGTATTTCACTTCACAGCATCTCTCTGAGTATTAGTAACAGAAGTGAGATTATGATACTGGGCAGCAGGGGCAATTCGCTGCCATTAATTCACACATTCTTCCACTATGCAAATGTCATCAGAAGGTCTGTGGAGTGAGAGACATGCAGTCTCAACAGTCCCTCTTCTCTACTTAAGGAGAGCAGCTAAATGTACCCTTAGAATGGAAATTTGTTAAGTTTGACCAAGACCCTCAACACCTTCTGTTCCTGTACGTGAAACTTGTCTTGTCGCAAGTCCTTGTTTGTTAGCGCCCCTATTTTACAGCGCTGCAAATTTGTTGGCATTTATAAATAATAATGCAGTAGCTGTTGCTCCGCAGTATAACTCCTACAAATCTCAGGCAGGCTAGGAGATGTTTGCTCTGATGATGCCATAATAACACATTGTGGAGCATCAGGCAGGCTGTACAATATGTTTTTGTGTATAGAAAAAATGTCCAGTAAGAGAGTCAATAACATGATCTAGCCATTGAAATATTAGGGTGGATTCCCATTATGGCAGCCACACTGGTCGAATAGGAAACTGGGGAAGATACGATTGATGAAATGTTTAAAAACAAAAACCAGACGTAAAAAGTACAGACTATTACCTGATTGGCTTGTCCAGGACCATGAGCAGCTTCAAGAGCTTTGTAAAGTCCTTCTGACATTAGCACCAGAAAGCCTGTTACTCCATCCAGTGGCTGACAGCCATGGATCTCCGGTTCTGCTGTGATTGGCTTTGATTTGGCAGTGCTGGTCAAAGTAAAAGAATAATCATACTGGATTTTAGCAATTTAGTTTGTGGCAAATACTAAATGAAACACTATTTTAAAACCTACTCAGAGGGAAATCAATACAATGTTGAATAATTACTATTTGCTTTGCATTGTAATATGTTAATAAAGGTGATCTTTAAGCAACATAGCCAGACTAATGATATAGCCCAAATGTAATCCAGATACTGAGGGAACGCACCCATCTTGCTGCACTTCCGCATTTGTCAATTTTTGGCTAAGCAAAACAACAATGATTGGCTAATACAGATGAGCTAACATGCAGAGTTTGAAATTAAACTAAAGGATTTTGCCAGGGACTCTAGGCAACCAAAGCGCTACAGCAAGCTATAGTAGTAATCCTGTTTATAGCGCCTCTTCTTTAAAGATTCTTTATTTTCATGTTTCATATGAACATATGAACGTTTGTACAGAAAGAGGAAAAGAACAAGGTGGTTATTTGGGTAACAACAATTGGGTACGACATTGGGTTGTTTGCATTCGGGTCTGGCTCTTTGGGCTGGGGTGTCGTTGACTATTCCGTCTATCGTGGACCGCTGTTTGTCGGGGATCTTACAGTCAACTCCTCTGTTTGTGTTATTTGTATTTGTGCTTCAGTGAGGAGGTTGTAGTTGGAATGCAGAACGTTGTGTTGTGGAGTGGTCCGGTTTGTTAGCTCCGTCGGAGGATAGTATATAGCTTGTATGTCTGTTTTGCCAGGGTTATTGTAGGTGGTCGTTTTTAGGTGAGGGTTGGCGTCTGTGTAGGTCGCTGCTGTAGGATGGTTTGTTATGTAGCGTTGGATCAGCAGTGCCTGGCTCGTAAGTCAGGTCATTAGTCAGGGGGATGGTAGGGTAGGGGAGGTGGGTTTGTAGGGGGTGGGGGAGGAGAGAAGGGGGGGTGTTCAGAGGGGCAGGTGATGGGGTGCTGCCCTCCTGGTTACCCCCCGGGACTCCGAGTAGGTGGATTGGGTTAGGGGTTGGATAGATGAGCGACATTTTTGTCTCTTGTTGTGGATTGATGTTGGCGGTGTGGGTTGTGTGGTAGCTATGTATCACCATGGGAGTGCGTTGTGTCCTTCCAGCCATGGGTCCCATACTTTGTGAAATGATTTTGGGGTGTCATGAACTTGCGCTGTCAGCTTATCCATGGCTATGTTGTCAGTTATTTTAGTGTTTATTTGGAGTTGAGTGGGTATGTGTGGTGTGGACCAGGTTTCAGCTATTGCTCTGCGTGTGGCCAGTGCTATTCTAGTAATGAGTTTGTTTTCATTGCGGGTGAAGGTGTCAATGGGTTTAGAGAGTAGGAGAGCCCAGGAGTCCGGGGGTACTGGCTTGTTAAGTATTCTAGTTAAGAGTGTTGTAATTGTTTGAGGAGTGAGTTTGGGGCATGTCCACCAGCAGTGGAGGAAAGTGCCGGTTTCGCCACACAGTTTCCAGCAGAGGTTATTGGATATTCGGTTCATTGCCTTTAGGTGGAGGGGGGTTAGGTACCACCTGAAGAGCATTTTGTAAGCTTGCTCTTTGTGGGTGATGCAGATTGAGATGGATTTGATGGATGCCCATATGTCTGCCCATTCGGTGGGTATAGCGCCTCTTTTAAAAAGTAAAATGTCTTTTTTTGTGCTTTGACTGTGAGCTAAAATTCACCTCAAATGGCTGATGAAATCAGAAAGTACTCTCACCTGAGCAGTTCCATGTCACTATAGTTGTATTTGACTTTGTAATCTCCAATGCGGCGTGTGCTTTGCTGACCTCCAATTACACCCACCTGTTTAATCTTGGATGTATCCAGTCCTAAGGCACAAGATCGAAGTCAGAAAAGTAAAAAGGGTGGAAAAACCTTAATATACTCTATACTATAAGATGCAGTTATTTTGCAAAACATTGGTTAAATAAACAGGCTGCTCTCAAATATCTCTGTGTATGACACAAGCTATACATTAGGGCTAAAATATAACATACAAAGTAAATATTAAATATAACGCAATTTACTATCAGTGAATAAGCCACTTGATCACAGGTTACGTTGTTTTTCTATACAGTTCTCAAACAAAATACATATAAATAAGAGCATATATTATTCACGTTCTATTCCACTTTTTTTAATTCGAAATAATGCATTCATTTTATGTTTAATTTGCCAGTGTCTTGGAGTTAAACAGATTGGTTCAAACTACTACAGTGTTAAAGTTTCATAATCTCTATTGTTGGGGTATGATGAGCAAAAACTCTTTCCAAGGCAATACATGCATTGTGATGGACAAATAATAAAGATAAAATGGTCTCGAGACAATGGGCTGTGTAGGAAACTTTATATATCCTGTCCATTATTTACCAGGTTTTGCTCCTCTTATAAAATAATGTATTGGCTTAATACTACAGGTGTTAGGTTTATTAGTAATTATATTATTGTATATCGAATATATACATATATTAGTAGATGTGTTATAATCCTGAATATACAACATTTTGGGTTAGATATTTCTAACATTTTAGTCTGGTGATAAAGTTAGATGTAAATTTGCATGTCATTTTATTCAACGCATTGGGGCCTTTACTATATCTTTCTTCATTCTGTTTTTTGCAGATGCAACATTTTGGGGAGCAAACTGTGTATATTAAACCCAACTGACCATGTAATGGTGTACAACTTCTCAATTAATTCTACAGCCTCTGTCTACAAGACAAGCTGGACATGCCACCAAAAATAGATTACTTCACATTAGTAGTTATATAAATCCTCAAACAACATATATAACAATGAAACATGCTGTTTTTGTACTGTATCCACAGATTCAGGAACTTGAGCTTAATGGATTAGTTGCAGTAAAAAGCCTTTTCCCCATTCATTGTACTACTTGTAAATTGAAAGGGAGTTATGGTAGATATAATAAAAATTAAAAAAAAGCCAAGTCTGGTAGTGAGGACCTTCTGAATAACTAACTTCAAACACAGCTTCCACAATTGCCCACCAAAAGGTAGCACATACCCAGCTGAGAGAGCCTGAATATCTCATCCTCATTTTCTGTTGTGTGATCAGCATTAAGCTGTGTGACCTGAAGGCCATCCACAGTAGATTTACATAGCAAAGCCCGGTTGGTCCCTGAAATCAAACATTAAAGAATGTTATTTTTAGTCTCTTACAGTGATTCTTGAAGTGCTTCTCTTTGGTATTAGTTAAAGAAAATATACCCGTCAAAAGGTTTGTTGTAGGCAAGAACAAAAAAAACAAGGTATCTGAAGACGGGTAAAAGGCATCCGTCATGCCCCAAACAACATATGATCATTATTTTACCTATACATTGTGCTAGGAGCTTTGCTAGCAAAAGTATAGATTAGGAGAAAAAAAAACACAATTTAAAAATAGTCTTTTCTCCCAGCTGTCAATTAATACAGGAGCTCCCTCTGTTCTCCACTCATAGCAACCACAGCACATATGCTTTGATTGCAATGAAAACAACCTGGCTGGCACTTCTAACACTGGCTAGGGAGTAAAGGAATGGAGTGAAGTGACTCTGTTCTGACACTGGCAACGAAACCAGTGTGCCGATGTCACTGATAAAAGTTGCGAAGCTTGGAGATGTGTCCCACAGGGAAAAATCAAAGAAGACTTTGGGAAGAGTGGGGACAGCTTAGAGATGGGTGTAAAAAGGATACTACAGCTGTATTCACAGCACTATCGCTCCCCCTGCCTCCCTCCTCCTCCTCCGTCCCATGATGAGCAGCTCTAATGTGCATGCACGGCAAATGTCGTGTGCGCATTAGACCTCCCCAAAAACATGGAAACATTTTTGGTAAGTTCATTTTTTATAACAGGTTGAAATAAGCTAGGTTAATAAAGCTAACCTAGCTTATTTCATGACGGAAATATTCCGTCATGATTCCCTTTTATTACAGAAGTTGTGTCCTTAAGGGGTTAAGCTGTGGCAGTTTACTGCACTATAATATATTTCAACAGAGTGTAAAGTGATGTCTTTATCACTTCTGGAACACTGAAGGTTTGCATCCTGAAATTGGGTATGCATGTGGATGGAATTTGGGTATTATTTATGCAATGTGCATTTGATGTCTTAGACATGGTGCTAATGAAATAGTTTTTGCCAATTTAATAAAATTTCCTAGAGATCACGTGCAACTGAAGAGCCCATAGGCCAGTTTCTCCCACATACATTATGCCAGCACCTGAGGTGTTAAACTCAAACTGCAGAGAGGCAGATGCAGGCCTAACATGGGGAACTACAGATTATTTTTTATAGATAAGAGGAGAGCTGAATTCTGCAACTCTGCTATTTTAATCTTAAATTTACATGTCCATTTATTGGTTTAGCAAAGTATACTAATAGTTCACAACAAGAACAGATTCAAAATGTAGTAGTCACCTCGTAAGGTAAGACGCTTTTCAAAGACTACTTTCATAAGACATACAAACTCAATTGGAAAGTTCTGAGCACACAAACAGCCCCTACAAATATGTACCACTTACCAATTTAAATGTTATAGGTCAGACTTTAAGGCATGTTGTAGCTCATACGTAAAAACTTATAGGCATCAAAACAACTTTAGCTTAATGAAGCACTTTTGATGTATAGATCATGTATGTACCTGCAGTCTCACTTCTCAATTCTCTGCCATTTAATTAAATCTATTTTGTTTCTACCCATGGAACCCTAGCCACACCTTTCCTGGCTGTGACTATTACAGCCTGCGTTTTCAATCAGTTGTTTACTTACTTTAGATGTTTTATCCCCTGCTTTAACTGAACTTTAATCACACATACAAGGCTCTTGCAGGGTCTAGAAGGCTATTAGAGCATGAGATTAGAAATTCTAAATTAAACATACTGCGCAATGAAGGAAGTTTAAACATTAGATCTCTCTTTACAGGAAGTGTTTAGAAAGGCTGTGCAAGTCACATTAGGGCTGCATAAACAATTTAACTCTTACATGGCAAAGAATCGAGCACTGAAACTGCAGGGGCATGATCTATACACCAAAACTGCTTAATTAAGCTGAAGTTGTTTTGGTGCCTAAATTGTCTTTTTAAAGTTATTAAATTATTTAAAAAACATCATGTGCTCAGCTAACATGGATTCTTGGCCCCTTTTTGAAAAAAATGCATTTATTACATTACATTGGCAACCTACTCTTTAATTATATGTTATGTAACAAAATATATTCTGCATAACAGATTCTTTACATAATGGTTCGACACAGGGGAAGACGGGGCAGCTACAGTGAGGATTACTCAATCTTTCCCCCCCTGCCCACAGTTTACAGAATTATAATACAAAATACTCCCATTTGTCCTGTATGAAGACTACGCAACAATTATTTCATACTCAAAAATGTTGATAAATTAATTTTTCTACATAAAGAATCTTCTCTAAAGAATGAGATGACATAGACTTCCTCCCACTCCCTTACTGTAGAGAAATACACACCCACATTAGCAACGTAAAGTTTGCAGTTCAGAATGAGCACCACAATGACCATTACGCCTCCATAAATTTCTCTCTCTAGGATGTTTAGGCGCTCCACAATCTTCTGGTACTGGCTGGGAAGCTGCTGTTTCACAGCACCCTAAAGAAAATAAAACATCACACAAACCATATCACCGCGAATATAATGCATCGTCTGTCTAAAGAAAGAGCAAAATCTGTAACCAATATTTAATTGATGAGAAGATCCTGTGTCTGAAGTCTGTGCTAGGCAGAAATTGCAGGGTTTGCAAGCGCTACAGACAAGAGATCAAGCTGTCTTTAGATAAACCCCCAAAGATAAAATGCAGAAATAGAATTAAATTGTTTTTTAAAATCCACTGTATAAGGTAGTCGTTATCAAAGTAATAGCTTTTTATGAATGGTTTTTAACACAGTTGAATTTGTTGGTATTATAGAGATAAATGCCAATTATTATTACACATATGAATCCCAATTAAAAAACACCCAGGTCTTTAGATCTAACTGCACATTTATTGTACTTTATGGCACCATTTTGTACATTTATTGCATCACCTAAGAAGTGTGAGACAAACGTGTGTGCATTAATTTACTATATAAATATTTACGGTTTCAGAGGCACCACCATAGACTAAAAATAGCACATTTGAGATTAACATTGGTGATCAGAGCCTAAAAACTTTAAGGACAAAGCATATTTTAGAGCACTTGATTCCATTTCCCAAAAGACTCACAAGACACATGCCAATTGCAGCTAGTTGAAGTGATATATAGGTGTGTAAAAATGCAATACGCTACTTGCAATAAGGTACTGAAATCTTACCCCAAACTGCAAATGCCATACTAGACCAATTCTAAAGATGAGGTTTTGCTATTGCACTTACAGTCCAGCTGGTCCTGGCTTTTATTCAAATGTCAACTGAGTATTTTAAATGATGTTTCTAACTTTTAAACATTAAGGCACACTCAACAACTACTACTCAAAGCCAACAGCATAAGCTTCTAAACCCAATAAAAAGTTATATAACATCTGTAACTTGGATAACATTGTTAAAAGCAGTTTATTGGATCTTTTCTAGCAGGGTTTGTTAATTCCCTTCTCAGATTATAGCCTTGCACACTCATTGATCCAATGATTTTTGAGGTATATTAACCTCTTGGCTTGTGACCGAAAATTATAACTCTAAATGCATTCCATTTTTTTTATGACAATTGTTGCGTATACAAGCATGTGCCCCAAAATGGTCTTTTCCAAACCATACGCCTTGTTTTTTTCAATTTAAATGAGATGAATGCATAGACACAGTGGAAGTCAGTATTCATTTGTCGGTGCCACACAAAACTTACAAAGCTACAAAATGCAACTGTCACATGCCAAGCAGACTACTGATGGAAAGTAAGTGAACAGAGAGTGGGCTCGCAGAAAAAAAAAATCAGATACCTTAACTGTATGGCAAAACCTTTAAACAGTGGTTCTTAGCCTTTCAAAAAGGGAAACAGGGAACCAAATTACATTTATATGCTTGTCAACTCATTTTTCATCTGCAAAAGTACTTCTTCAAGTGCAATATAACTAACATTTAAATAGACCCAGGAAAGCAATGCAAAACAATAAACAATGTATTTTGGGTAGTTGCATGGGGAAGGAAAAAATAGGGACCCAATGAAATAGCATGATGTCACATAACTGGGTCCAGATTCACTGGTTAGTTACCAATAATGTAAAAAAGGTATTTTGTTTTTTTTCCTTCTCTACAAAAAAAAGTATCTGAAGGAGTGAGGGAATGTGGCCTCCAGTCATTTGTTTCTCCAGATCTGTAAGATACATATTTATTTTCACATTCTTTCCAAATCATTTTCTTTCTTTGTTGCCGGCAATTTATTGTGTCCTGTTTCAAACATATTTCATAGTCTTATATCAAACGTATCTGACTATTGTAATCAATAAGCCAATACAATTTCCCTATAATTGTGAACAGCAGAAAAAAAGGCATGGTTAAAGTCCACAACAGAAGTTACCATGGTAACTAAACTAAGCTGGATAGCTGCAATAACTGCTGCCATTTACCGGAAAGTGATGAGTAAACTGAGGTGAATGAACTATCACTTTCCCAGAAATTATGCTACTGAAAATCAATAACCTCATTTTAAATTGCCCCAAAATACATTCAGTACATCATGTATCACAAGACACATGATGTAAGCAATGTAATATTGAGCTATACTGACCTCACCTCCGCTCCAGCACCATCTACATAGCTTTGTGGGTATAAGACTTCCGTGTAACACCCACCTCCAGTTCATCTTCTGGAGAATGTTTCTACAACACACTGACTTTGACACACATTGCCAGCATGCCGGCGTCTGACCGGAGTGACGTCAGTCACTTAATTCCTATACTCCTTAGCAAGTGATAGCAGCATTGGCTAGTGCATTTCCATGTACTGTGGTTGCTATGCTTGAGAGTGCAGAAGAATCTCTTGTGGGAGGTCATATCTGCTCTCCCTTGTAAAATCATTGACATAGACGTTATGATTTAGTTAGTAATCACAAAAGAAAGAAAAGGGTCCAGGCACTCCAATGCTTAGATAAGCACATTTTTTGGAACTAGTGTCCAGCAGAAACGTTTCGACCACAGAAAAAGACCCTTTGGTTGAAACGTTGGTGCTGGGCACTGTAGTTCTAATAAGTTTGCCTACCTAAGCCTTGGAGTGCCAGGACCTTTTTCTTTCTTTTGTGACTACTAACTATCTTTTGAGCCTTGCTGCTGGCTCCAGGTTTGGTTGTACCGTGGCTTTTATATAGTATATTAGATTTAATTAAAAAGTGTGAGAAAGAGCAATTTTTACATTGGTTTTTCACCTAATCCATACATTTGATAGCAAAATGTATTTATAGCATTTCATGCTCTTTACAAAGAACATAAGTAGTTTTGGACGGGACAGGTTCCCTTTCATTGGCTGAAAACAGTCAGCTGATGTTCTCAGCCAACGAATGGCCGACATGATAGGCTTCTGGATTCTGCAGCTCTGGATGTTGTATATTCTGCTTCAGAATAGACCAGGAGCACAACGAGAAGCAAGAAGGCATTACCGGGGAAGATGGCCTGTGTACTCCTGGCATCATAACCACTACTCCAAACATCATAACCACTGGTGGGCTGAGGTGGTTTTGATGCTTGAAATGACTTTTTAACCATGTTTTCATAAAATCTTCTGTTCACGAACTTTAAAAAATGCTGTAAAATGGCAGCTCCCGTTTATATATATTAGAAAAAAAAAAGAAAAAAGCATAAAAACAAAAGTTATGTTTCCCATTAAAGCTCTCCAATTTTAGTTTGCAACAAAATGCATGATGGTGTCATTTAGCAGAATAATATAATATAACACAGGGATGCACAATTCCAGTTCGGGCGCTGGGCAGGTAGTTATTTTTTTTTTTTAGCCCTGCTTCAGGCTTGCAGCAGAGTGACTGGTCGGGTCCTCGGTCAATGAGGACCCAGCATCGGGAGAGGGCACGGCGGCTTGCCCTGTGTGCCGCCGGGTGCGAGGCCCCTCTGGTTTGCCCAGGAAGACAGCCAGCACAGTCTGCAGCTCCGCCATGTGTGAGCTGCAGACTGTGCTGTATCTTGCGATCTCTGGCCAATCAAAGCATTGGCGCGGGTTACCACGGCAACTCTCTGACTTCTAGAGCTCGCAAGACACAACACAGTCTGCAGCTCACACCTGGCAGAGCTGCAGACTGGATAGACAGACCACCGGACCACCAGGAAAAGAAAAAAAAAGTTATTTCTAACACCCCTCACTCTGTCACTAGTCAACCTCTCCCTCAGTCACATTGTCACCAGCCACCCCCTCCCTCAGTAACTCTGTCACCCCCTCAGTAACTGTCACCAGTCAATCCCTCCCTCAGTCCCTCTGTCATTAGTCACCCCCTTCCTCAGTCACTGTCACCAGTCACCCCCTCCCTCTGTCACCAATTACCCCCTCCCTCACTCTGCCACCTTTCATCCCCTCCCTAACTCGCATCAATCTGTCACCAGTCACCCCCTCACTCTGCCACGAGTCGCCCTCTCTCTGCCACCAGTCGCCCTCTCCCTCCCACACTCTGCCACCAGGCACCCCCTCCCTCACTTTCTATGTCACCCCCTCACTCTGCCACCAGTCACCCTCACTCTGCCACCTTTCATCCCTCACTAACTCTGCCACCACCTCACTGCCACCTGTCATCCCCTCACTCCCACGCTTTCACCCACTCCCTCCCGCGCTCTGCCACCTATCACCCCCTCACTCGGTCATTCCTTTCCTACCCTACATTTTATCCCTATCCTACCCCACACTATGTGCCCTACGCCCCTATCCTACCCCACACTATGTGCCCTACACACACTAGACAGACCACCGGACCACCAGAAAAAAAAAAAAAAAAAAGTTATTTCTAACACCCCTCACTCTGTCGCTAGTCAACCTCTCCCTCAGTCACTGTCACTGCCTCAGTCACCAGTCACCCCCTCCCTCAGTCACTCTCTCACCAGCCACCCCCTCCCTCAGTAACTGTCACCAGTCACCTCCTCCCTCAGTCACTCTGTCACCCCCTCAGTCACTGTCACCACTCACCCCCTCCCTCAGTCCCTCTGTCACTAGTCACCCCCTTCCTCAGTCACTCTGTCACCAGTAACCCCCTCCCACCCTCTGTCACCAATTACCCCCTCCCTCACTCTGCCACCTTTCATCCCCTTCCTCACTCTGCCACCGTCTCAATCTGTCACCAGTCACCCCCTCACTCTGCCACGGGTCGCCCTCTCTCTGCCACCAGTCGCCCTCCCACACTCTGCCACCAGGCACCCCCTCCCTCACTTACTATGTCACCCCCTCACTCTGCCAACCCCTCACTCTGCCACCTTTCATCCCTCACTAACTCTGCCACCACCTCACTGCGCCACCTGTCACCCGTCATTCCCTCCCTCCCACGCTCTGCCACCTGTCACTCCTTTCCCACCCCACACTGTATCCTACCCATCCTACATCCATATCCTACCCCACACTATGTGCCCTACACCCCTATGCTTCCCCACACTATGTGCCCTACACACACTACATCCCTATCCCACCCACACTATGTGCCTTACACACTCTACATAACCTACAAACTACATCCCTATCCCACACAATAGTGTGTTCCCTACATCCATATCCCACACAACACCATGTTTCATACACAAAATATATAACCTACACACTACATCCATATCCCGCATGACACCATGTTCCCTACACACACTGCATCCCTATCCCACACCATGTTCCCTACACACCTACACACTACATACCTATCCCACACCACACCGTGTTCCCTACACACCTATCCCACACCACACCATGTTCCCTACACACACTGCATCCCTATCCCACACCACACCGTGTTCCCTACACACACTACAAACCTACACACTACATACCTATCCCACACCACACCGTGTTCCCTACACACACTATATCCATATCCCGCACCACACATTGTTCCCTACACACACTACATCCATATCCTGCATGACATCATGTTTCCTACACACACTGCATCCCTATCCCACACTACATAACCTACACACTACATACCTATCCCACACCACACCGTGTTCCCTACACACACACACATCTCTATACTGCACCAGACCATGTTCCCTACACACACTACATCCCTTTCCCACACCTCACTACACACTACATAACCTACACAAATACACACTACATCCTTATCCCACCTCATACTATGTTCGTTACACACACTGCATAACCTACACACTACATAGCTACATTTAATACATTTATTAAAGCTCTTTTAAAAGGGGCGCTCAAAGCACCAGAGCCACTACAGTTTAATGTAGTGGTTCTGGAGGAAAGAGATTGACCCTGTAGGCTCAGCAGTGTAAGCACTGCCTTTTCTGTAACCAAGCATGTCAATTGATATAAATGGCCTGATGAGGTTGCCTCAGTTAATTATAGTTCTATTTTTAGATAAAGTAAGCTACAATTCTCATTTGGAATTGATTCTGTTTAAGTTCACTACCTACTTGCAGTTGTAATTGCATTGAAGTATTGTTCGGTCTGTTTCCTAAATTACTATCAACAAAGACCTTATTTAAATACGTTCTTGATTTAAAAAAAAAATAAAAATTGTATCAGGACAAGTAGATTGGGTAAACTATTTAACCCCTGGACCAGTAATTTTTTTTTTTTAAATTTCAACACCCCTGTAACAGATACAATTTTTTGGTAAAATATTTATTTCTGTATGCCGAATGACTGAAACACGTGGGAAAGAATGTTAAAAATACATACCTCTGGGAGTTGAGATAGGAGACTTGTTTTTTCTGCCAAGGAATCATCAATAGACTCCAAGAAACTTCTCTCCACAACATCAAAAGCCTAAACAGATTAAGGAAGAAAAATGAACAGGAGAGAAATCACTACATGCAGAAACCTCTAGATTGCAAGCTCTTTTGAGCAGGGTGGGTCTTCGTCCACCTATTGTTCCTGTAACATTTTGTAATTGTCTTATTTATTGTTAAATTTTCCCCTTTTATAATACTGTAAAGCGCTGTGGAATAAGCTGGCGCTATGTAAATGCCAATAATAATAATAAAAAATCTAACATAAATTAGTATCAATACCAAAAGCCAATATTCTGTAATGTTCTAGATGGTCTTTCATGGCCTTAAACAAACCGAACAATGCTAAAAGCAACGTCCATCTTAACTCATCATTGACCAGGAAGAGAGACTCCTGGTTTGCCTGTGTTGCTGCTTATCCTTCCATATCCACAGACTGTACAAGAGCTCGACATTTCGTGGCTATTTTTTTTTTCTAAAATCAAGCTGCTTTTAATTTAAATTATTTAAACCAAACTCAAGTTTATATTCAAATTGTAGATGTATTCTCATCTCTGAGCATGATTTTCACAGGATACAGCACTGGGTGAGTTGTCTAAAAGAAATGACAAAATGTATTTTTTTTTTTACATTTTTTTTTTTCTTGTATCAAACTGATTGTTACAGTTATTCAGTCTAAACCCTTCATAGCAAGGTATTAGGCAAATCTCATATATATGAGGGTCAAGCTTCTAGGTCAACGTCTAAAAGCTGAGTAAACCTAGAAAGCCTTTTCGTGTTGCATTGATGTAAACTATAGAATGACCTAGTCCTAATCCCTCAAGCAGATAATCAGGATAATAAAGATCAAAGGGAAAAGGTCTTATATATAGCAAGCAGCACAGTAAGGGGATGGGATTCATAGAGCACATAAGACATGACATAAAGAACTGCTTTAAAAAAATAAATCTGTGTACAGATCCCATAATGCCTGTAACAGAGAAATTTAGTTAAAAATGAAACAGCAGGGTCACAAAAACGAGCTCAAACTGATAAAGTAACATTAAAAGCACCATGACCAATACAATGTGGTTGTACCAGGACACTCCTGATAACATAACCACTACTGCTGGCTGTAAGGAGTCAACGTACTTAAGGCAAGATTAGTTCCCAGTGGATCCCAGGTAAGAAGTCAAACAGTTTGAGTCTTTTAATCGGGGGGAGGCAGGTAAGTAGTCAAACCACTACTAAATGGTTGGCTCCTTACATAGGCGGGGGCACAGTGCATTTCTGTCACCATGACCACTAGAGCGTAGTGGGAATGTTGTTTTAGTTGTAAAATGAAAGATCATGCAGCAAAATGTAAAGTGTTCAAATGTTACATTACTTATAGTTCTTAATATATTAAATGTATAGAGAGGTGACAAGAAACACACAAACACTGTCTTGTGTTAAAACGCACCTGTAACAGCACTCTCTGAACCTCTGCATCAGTGACATCGGAGTGCAACTGCCCTAACAGAAGCTCAGCTGCCAGTCGCTGACCCACAAAGTTGGTAGCTCGTGCGCCATCATAGCCATTGAATACCCCATACAAGTAAATATTATTTTCTCCCCTAATGAAAGCAAGAAACCACATTAACATATTGGCAGGACAAGAACATACAAGATTCATTTCCAGGAAAAAATATTGATAGTCATCAAGATTAAATTCCAGGCAACAAGTTTTGACACTCAGGTATACAATGTTAACTATCAAAAAAATAAAATAAAATCTTATCTATCCCACTGCAAATTTTTAGTTAGTTATCAGGTTGTGCAAGAATGGTCTATGTACCAGTATAATGTACTTTAATGCTAACTATAATGTCTGTTGAATATTTTCTGCATTATTTTCTATTTACTTTTATGAAAACTGAATTTATGATTTCTAGCTAACTGCAGACTCCAGAACACAAGAAAAATTCAAAGAATGTACATAGGAAGTAGGGAGCTTCATATATTCTTGTTGGCTGCTGATGGAACATGTTTTCTGCAGCCTTTTTAATACTAACTTTTCTAAGGGGTCTGAAAATTGTGATTAATGATTTGAATGGTAATTAGAGATACATTTGATGTTCTTGAAAAGTGACAATATTATTAAAGGAATACTCAGCTTATTGTAGTGGAAAGGTTGCACTTGCCCTGTCTCCCTGTTTTATATTGATTTGCTCAGGATTAAATTGATAGAAACTGGAATTCTTACTAGTGCCAAAGAGCCACCTTATTTCAGCCAAGATGGGGAGGTTCCTTTGTACTGGTGAGCCCCTGTTTCTATCAAACTATTCCAAATTATCTTGTTATAAAACTGAGGGTAGGGCCAGTGCACTCTAGATAACCTAAACACTACAATGGACTGTAATGGTTAGCTTGCTTAGATTAGCCCTTTAATATGCTCAAAATAATGAACTGATTTACAAAACGAAAACAGTTAGTGACAAATATTTTATTCAAGATCCACTCCTGGGAGGAAATAAACTCCATAAGCTGATAACATCCATAACACTGCTGCTATGAGTTTACAGACAGCCCTATGTGTGGTTTTGTGAATGGCCATGAGCACAGCATTCTCCTACTTAGCCAAGAGAACAGCTGCAGCTTAAGTGGGTAGAGGCAAGCAAGATGTGCCACTTGCTCACACAGGTTTGGATCACAAAGGAGGAAATAAAATGTTTTCCTTTGACGTCAGAAGAAAAAAGAAAAAAGGGAAGTCTCACAGTTGCAGTTATGTTTACAAAATCCTGCAGTTGTAAGCAACTGTCTGCAAAGACTAAGTGACAGGGACCTCCTAGCACCACAACCTAGACATTGGGCACAGGGTATTATGGTGCTCAGTGTCATTTTAAACCTTGGACTTAGGTGCTCTCCAAATTTTTTGACTTTATCCACACATAAGAAAATAGATAAAAACCAGGTCATTTAAATAATAACGTTGCTCTAGATCTGTCTTCTGGATGCTGCCATATATAATGGATTACGAGACCTTCCCAGAACTGTTTTTTTTTTTTTAAATTTCATCTTTATTAAGATTTTATAATGTTTTTTATAAAGGATACAGAACTGTTGAGTTAGGTGTTTGCTGTGGATGCCTATATCACACATTTGTGATTATAATCATAGTTGCAGTTAGTCCTTTTGTACTGCTGTTCTAAGAACCTCTTCTGGATGCTGCATTATATCAGTCAAAAGTGGGTCACAGTTAGGAAGTAAATGTGTTCCCTGCGTCTACAGTACAGACAACAATAAAATGTACACTGACAATAAACAACTTTGATTACAAACACAAATGTAGTTGGGCATTCCTGTGACATGAAGAAACTATCTGTTACCAAGTCAACCCAGAGTAAAAAGTGGCAAAACAATGCTTTATTCATGAGAACCAGAAAAGCAAGAGAACAATGCATCTAAGCAAATAGGTGTGGTGGATAAAGGTAGCTAAGTTGCCAGTTCCTGTTATGCCCAAGAGATTTAGTTCGCACTCCTTGTTAGCAAAATAAAAAAAATGTGGTATTACATTTCTATCTAAAGTGACTAAGGTTATATGGATGTTTTACCTTCATGTTAATTAACAGCTAACAAAAGAGAGAGGACACCAAATACGTCCTTGAGATGTAGCCAATTTTAAAGATTAGGTGACTAACAATTCATCCACATGGGTTTTTCTCAGGCTTATGAGTAAATATGTAGTGTACTAAGCACGTTAACTACCGGTAGTATGACCTGACCTTGGCACACAAGGTAGGGCACAGCCCTGAACTGGTAATCGAAGACTGAAACATGATAACCCACCTAACAATTATAGGAAGCACAAAGCATGCACAGCATTCCATGGTGAGATTTAGTGTGTGAGGCGCATCATCAAAGGCCCTGAATGGAATTCATTTTAGCGGGAGCAATAGAGTATGCTTAGTAGTGGGTTTGGGCACATAAGCAGTTTAGCATTTACTTGGCTTATACTGTGTACATATTTTTTATATTCTTTCAGGCTGAGGGGCATGGTGACGTAACCATTTATTAATATTTACTCTACACTCTGAATTCCAGAGTCCATTTAACGTAAACTCCCCTGAAAAGCAACTCTGAACACGAGTGCCCAACACAAACAAACCTGCAACAGATCACAAAAACACATTGCAAGTGACATCATATGGATACTAAGTGTTATGTGGAAGCACAGTTAACGCAGCTCTGTCACTTATCAGTAGTTTATAAAGAAATCATCTGAGTGTAATTCTGGTGCTGACTGCATAGGAATCACATTGAACTATCAACACAATCCAAAGGTACCAAAGTAGGAATCACTGTGGTTTTGGTAAAGCTGGGCTAGACATGCAGTGACAATAGATGGAGCTTTGTTTTCAACTTTGTCCAATCCCAGCAACTGCCACAAGTGACAGCTTTAGTCTCTCTCATTACAACATATCATCTATGGCAGCTTCCATGGTCTCACTGAATCCTACATAGACGTCAGTGTTATTCTTGCGCGTGTAAGAGTACAGCACTGACACGGCTCCTGGCAAACGAAGCAGCAGGGGCTGAATAAAACCAGCAAGAAATAAATGGCAGCAGGTGCGAGCGAGTGACAGTCTCAGGTAAGCAAACCTACCTTTCACTGCACCCCTTCAGCCACCTGACCCCAAGCTGTGATCCCACATTGGGGTGGGTTTTGAAAAATATGCAAAGACCCTCAATAGTGAAAGTAAAAACTTAGCAATGTTTGCTTATTTGTATCAACCAAGATATTGAACAATTAACTATACTACTTATTTTTCAAAATTAAATGATATGATGAAATTAAAGGGACACTATAGGCACCCAGACCACGTCATCTTAATGAGGTTTTCTGTGTGCCATGTCTGTCTGTTAAACCCTACAACTGAATACATTGCTGTTCTGTAGGAGGATAAATTAGGTGTCAGAACACTTTAGCTTTAGGAATACATATTTTAGTGTTCCTTTAAATATATTAAAGGGACTCTCCATTGCTAGGAAAACAAACTTGTGCAGTGCCCCCCTCCCTCCCGTCCCCGTCCCCATGTCGCTGTAGGGGTTCAAAGAGGGACATCGGCGCTGGGTCAGGCTCTGCCCACGCTCCTCCGCCACCAATGTCAGAAAGCGGGGGAAACCTAACGCACATGCGCGGCAGCGAGCGCACGCATTGGACCTCCCCATGGGGAAAATCTGACGCTGGATGTCCGTGAAGACGTCCAGCGTCAGATAACCGACCAAAAGTCCGTTATTAATCGGGAAGTGCCCCCAGTGGCAGTCTGATAGACAGCCACAGAGGGCAGACTTAGAGTTGTAATATAAACATTGCAGTTCTCTGGAACTGCAATGTTTTACATTGCATCACTAAGTGCAATAGGGGCACAGCAACCAGACCATTTCAATTAGCTGAAGTGGTCTGGTGCCTGGCGTGTCCCTTTAATGTAACCATTCCAAATCGTGTAGTGTTTTATTTATTTTTTACCATTAATGTGATTGTTTCAGGTGTATTTAATTTTAACTATTAAATTTAGACTATTTTAATTGAACACTCTGGGCACCATAACAACTTCATTAACTTTCTATGCTGCCAGGAGGTTCTGCACCCATCTGCTCTGCCCCTGGCTTCCAGCGATGTCTGAGGCTTCAATGAGGAAGGCAACTTTCTCAGTCTATCACTAGATTCCTATTCACAAAACTGTGTGAGAAAAGAACATGGCCATTATAGAAGCATTCCGAGGTAGATGTATTGCTATACTGCTTACTGAAATGAACATTTATGTAATCGTTTTTTTAGGCTGATGTATAGAGAAACTGTTACTATAAACTTCAGTTTCATTTTGTGAAATCCCAATATACTGTTGAATTCAGCACAGTTGGCTATGTTGAGTCCTGTACATTAGTGTTGTCAGTATGTGATTTAGTGGCAGTAGGAACAAGATAAAACAAAAAAATTCACCTGAATTTTAGCCAATTGTCTTCACAAGGATGTTCCTCCTTCCCTTCATTACTATAGGTTCGATTGGTAGCTGATCCAACCCCTGAGAGCTGACAGAGAGGGAGGTCATCTGTCCAACTCTGCTGCTCCTGTGGGAGAAGATGAATAAAGGAGATATGAAAAGAGGAAAGAAACTACCAAGTATTGGCAGTTTGTTACTGAAAGCAGTACATATGTATTACACCATGCAAAACTTGAATATGCAGCAATTTAAACAATATAACTTCAAAACAATCGGAAAAAAAGCACAATTTCTAATCACATATTCTGTTTTAAGTGACATTAATGTTTTCCTTTTTTTTGTTTGCTTCTTTAACCATTTTAATACAATGGCAGTCCTGCATTTTGGGTACACGAAAGGCTTCCTCAATCTATAATATAATTAATATATATATATATGTTAGCACATAATATATATATAGGCACATTTGGCATTATTTTGACACCACATAAATACAAACAATTAATAATTAAGTGTAAATATAGAAGTTAATAAATTGTGGTGGTGGAGAGGGGGATGATAAAATAGAGCCAAATGTTTTATCCACAGATTCTACAGCAGCTGAGAAATACACCCCAAAATAAATGATTTGAACTTATTTTGGTGGTACCTAATATGATTAGGTTTTCCGTTTATTTTACCAGTCCGTGTTCACATGTACAGAGCAGTATCATTGTTTCAAAAAAAGGTTTTAAAATTTGGTAGGCTGTGCCAGTAAGTTTAACATTTTTGGCCCACATTAGTAATGCATCAATTTTATTTTTCAAAATGGGAATTTCAACAGATTTGCTAGGTCTGCCTCATTTTGAAACATTTCAACCTACTAATGTTGCCACGGTATAAACAATTTCTGCTAATGATAAAAGGACAAGTGAAGCACCATCTTAATATAGTGGCACACAAATAATACCCTTTCTGTCTGACAATATAAAACATTTCTGCATCTGCAAAGACAGCAGTGTCTACATTTTGACAAAAACACGCCTCTAGTGGCTGTCATCCAGATAACCACTTCTTCCTTCAGACCCTCCGGTATTCAAAAGACTTTGCATTCAGTGTTATCACACAGTGCATCATGATGCCAAATGCAACCAACGCTTTTCATACAGAAGCACTGGATTGGTAGATTGAGGCAATTCTCTAAAAGAAGAATTTAAATAGGCATAGATCATTGATGATTTCATGCTACGCACATTGGGCTGCAGAAAATGGCTGTGTCGGCACTGGATTACAGGTTCATTGCAGTGTGTGTACATATTATATATATATATATATATATATATATATATATACACACACACACACACATATACAAATTTACAATTTTGGAATTTTCACTGCTTAATTTTCCTGCTTTTTAAAAAAGAACTTAATTACACATCACATACAAGTTTCTAATGTAAACAACCTAGGGTATTTTGAGCCAATCTAGACAGGACTTGTTATAATTATTATTTTTGAATATTTCAAAAATACATTGGACTTTAGATCAAAACTTAAGGTTTGATGTGTGCTGCCTCTGTTCAGCTGCATTAGCAGGATTTTGTGAAGTTATGATCAATTCAGTATTCACAATGATTGTTCTATTAGTTTCATGTAAAATCTGGGGGGATTGTATTCACCATATTTACATCTAGAGCAATCACATGCACAGACATAGAATACAGCCTGGTGTGCTCCTTGAGTAGCTAACTAAACTACATATTTGGGTTCATGAGTACTGTCAAAACCACTGTTGAAAGGCTCAATTTCTGCTCATACTAACTGTAAAAAAAGCTCATGTAAAGTAAATTATAAGTAAATTAGTATAATTAGCATAAATAAAAACAAAAGACAAACAACCATTTATGCTGCTTGACGTTCAAATTTCATCAGATATTTTCTTTTTCTTTTTTATTTTACACACACATATGCCCAAAATCTCACATTTATGGTTCTTTACTCTAGATTCTGTATACTTATACATTAACTAGGGATTGTAACAAATCTCTGGGGGAAAAAAGGACATGTACAGAGAATTTGGAGTAAATGTATGATTTTGGGCATATGCGCGTATAAAATAAAGAAAAACAAGACACAACAAAAAATAGGCAATGTTCAAAGAGCTAACAAATGTCTACCTGAAAGAAGGGCAATGGGCTGGCAAAAAATAAATCGTATATAACAGTTTAATGTTGTATTACAGGGCAATAATGTGCTATGTAGGCAGCTGTTCAAAATGCTGTATACAACATGCATAAAGCCTTTAATCACCTAAAGTGTGTGCATAGACCTGGCAGTGGGTTATAGTTTAGTTATACTGTTTGCATTGTGTATCCTCCCCTGTCAATGATTATTATATATCTTTATATCTCACACTCACTATTTAACCCACTGCCACTTACACACACATTGTCTATCATTCACCCAATTTCTCACTTTGGCGTTACTCAACACTATCACTATCACTTCCCCTCCCCTCTCTCTCTGTCACTCTGCTCCTCTCAGCCCTTCATTTCCTATGGCCCCAATGTTTTGTATCTCTTACACTTTGAAGCAGATTCCTCCTCTGCGCCGCCATCTTGGACCAGAAGTGACCGTCGGGCTTCGTGGGATCACATGACTCCGTGCTAGGATTGAACAGCTGCAGCGACATCTTGTGGTCAGAAAGTAAACCTACCAGCGTTATTCGACAAAGGCAGGCTTGCATTGCATGCACATTTTCTGTTTGTTATTATTATTATTATCATTTATATAGCGCCAACAGATTCCGTAGCGCTTTACAATATTATGAGAGGGGGGTTATGTTTGCGTGTATGTGTGTAGATGCCTGTTTATAGTTTGGTGTAACATAAGGGCAGGTTTTTAACCTGGAGGATTCAAAAATAATTGTTGAGAAGAGCCCGGATTTTACCAGCACAGACGGTATTTAAAAATACCGCCAATACAATAGTCTGTATTTTTTTTTCCCCCAGCAACAGAACGGAGGATGCTGTTTATAAAAACAGCCGACCAAGCTGAGCTGTGTGTGTGCAGTGATGGTCCCCTGCCTGACCTTTAACTGACATCTGCATAGATCATAGCTACGCGGCTTGCAGCTACTTAAAGGGACACTATAGTTTGGAAACCGCCATTTAGGTTGCTGGCCCCCCTTGCGCCAATTAAAATGTACCTTTTTCCAGCACTGCACAGGTCGAATCGCAGCTGGCTCTGCCTTCTTGGCTGAGCTCACCACACTTGATGATCTCAGCCAATACCAAAAGCATTGAGAGACCATTGTACATGCATGGCAAAACACTGTGCTGTGCCAATCAGCACATCCTCATAGAGATGCATTGAATTAATGCATCTCTATGGGGTGCATTCAGCGTCTCCATGCAAAGTGTCTGAGTGACTGCCACTAGAAGTGTTCCTAGGCTGTAATGTACACACTTCATTTTCTCTGAAAAGGCAGTGTTTACATTAAAAAGCCTGCAGGGACTGGCTATAGACCACAGAACAACTACATTAAGTTGTTCTGGTGACTATAATGTCCCTTTAAACCAACGTCTGTTGACTTAGCTGTCTGCACCAGGTTTCCAGTGACCTGAACTCTGCTCTTCTGTGCTGAGTGACTGCGGAGATCTGACTCTGGAGGAGGGGGTTGGAAATAAGGACGTCAAATCCGTTTCCTGCTCTAAGTGCACCACACTCCAGAGCAGGACTAGCCCAATACATTGTGCTGCCTGGGTCCACTACAGAGTGTGTGCATGTAGTGGATGCAGTTTCTGTGTGTAGTGGATGTAGTGTATGTGAAGTGGATGCAGAGTGTCATAGTGTATAGATGATGCCATGTGTAGTGGGTGCAGTGTGTGCAGAGCTGCCATCAGGGGGTAACAACCATGATGGTTGTCACGGGCCTGGTGGTGCTGGGGGATACATTCCTCCTAATCTGTTGTGGCGGAACTGCTGCTGGTGCCGCTGCAACGGGGCCCACATGATTTGTCTTCAGGGGCCCAGTCAGCATTGCGGCCCTTTAATAGCACAACAGGGACCCATTAAAAGGGCAGTCATGGCCAGTGCTGGGAAGAAGTGAGAGCCACTCGACACACACTGCATTCTTGTGGGTGGACTTGGAAACAGGCCCTGGGGGGTCCCAAACCTTAAGCTGTGCAAGGGGCCTCGAAATTTCTGATGACAGACCCGAGTGTGCATGTGTGTATAGTGTATGCAGAGTGTGTGTCTGTGTAGTAGATGCAGTGTGTTTGTGTAGTAGATGCACACATGTGTTTGTGTAGTAAAATATCTATAGTTAGCTTTATTCCCCCTTCCCTGCCTCTTACCTGTTGTCAGGGAGAGAGGAAATTAGATTTCCTGGTGGTCCAGTGGCACAGCAAGCTTGTCCTGTAAAAAGGGGCCCAGAAGTCTAATCATTCCTTCCAGCAACATGTCCTCTTCTCTTCGAAAAAGTGAACAGGGCTGTTAAAGTGCAACATGGAGCCATGGCCCCACCAGGACCAATGGACAGGCTGGCCCTGCTCCAGAGGATCCGATAAGGCAGGGCAGAAGAAAGAAATCACAGCAGCTGCTGCACAGCTCACATAATTCTTCTAATCTACTGAAAGTGACATCTCACCGAATGTAACCAGACACTACTAAAGAATATAATTCAAGTAAGTTCACGTCACAAACCAAAAGTCACTATTTTATTTGCAATAATTTTTATGTTTTGGTAAATAGTTGTGAATATCTTTTTGCTTATCCATATGAAATATTAAAAAGCAACTGTTCTTTAACCCCTTAAAGACCAAACTTCTGGAATAAAAGGGAATCATGATGTCACACGTCATGTGTCCTTAAAGGAACACTCCAGTGGCAAGAAATACAAAATAAGCAAATATCACTATTTAGTATATATACCCTATATATTTAGCATTCATACAGCCAATTTGGCATTGCCAAGAGAAAGATGAGAGACATGAGACCAAACAATGCAGAAGAGCTAAAGGCCGCTATTGAAGCATCCTGGTCTTCCATAACACCTCAGCATTGCCACAGACTGATAGCTGCCATGCCACGCCGCATTGAGGCAGTAATTGCTGCAAAAGGGGCCCAAACCAAGTACTGAGTCCATATGTATGCTTATACTTTTCAGAGGTCCGATAATGTGCTATGTACACTCCTTGTTTTATTGATTGCATGTAATATTCTAATTGACTGAGATTGTGGATTTTGGGGTTTTTATGAGCTCTAAGCCGTAATCATCGCACTTATGACAAATCACGGCTTGACCTATCTTGCTTTGCATGTAATGCGTCTATCGCATATATTAGTTCCTCCTTTTATGTTGCATTACTGAAATAAATGAACTTTTGTAAAATATTCTAATTTTTCGAGTATCACCTGTACATGTTTGTGTTCCTGACTCTATAGTGAGTGATCCTTTAATGTACCTACCAATGTCTCTTTATTTTACATCTCCACAGCTGTGTACTGATCTAGCAAACATTGCAGTTTTGCTTGCTTGGCTTTTTATTTTTCTAGTGTGAGCTGCCTTCTAAATAAAATAACCACAGATTACACGTTTAAGGACTTCCCATACATTTGTAGCTTATTGGACATGGGTAAAGAAAATTAAAACATTATTAATCCAGTCCTACTTTCCTTTTTTCTGTCACTGGATCTTTCATCTTCCACGTCAGGAACAGCATGGGATTGTGTGAGCATGATTAACACGGTACAGTGATTTGCCCATGTAAGTGTAGATGACCATGCCCAGGCATAATGTAATCAATGTATTTCTAACAGTGTCCCTTAAAGTGAGAAAAAAAAACAATGAACTAGTGGGTATTCCATATGGAGGATCTGAATAACTATATTTTTATATTGCTTGCTGTTTGGAAAGCACATTTAGGTGTACGTCAAAGTGGAAACTAGTCTTGTTTGTTATGATAGTCATTTTCATTTTAAGACAGAATAAGTGATTCTTTTCAATTGAAGCATAGTGTGATATGGTGCTATAAAACATAATCTGCATGTACTCTAATAGACTAGAGCAGGGGTAGCTAACCTTCAGCACTCCAGATGCTTTGCAAACAACTGGAGTGCAGAAGGTTGCCCCTTGGTCTACAGCCCTGCAGTATCTGGATTGTATTAGAAGGGACTGGTCAATTATTCAAGTGTAGCTAGAAGGACCAGGTGGCATAGTGGACATCCTTACCTAGTGCCATATTTAATGTTGATCGTTCAGACATATGCCCATTGATATGGATATAGGCAATAGGATGATGTACATACCAAGTAGAAATCAAGAAGAAAAAAAATAAAAAAATAAAAAATAAAATTTGTTGCAAATATGAAAGGCCAAGTTACATAATCAAAATTCTTTTCCAACTATTGCAGTATTTTCTGAATTAGATGGTGTATTTATTTTTTAATACCGTAATATTGTATGTTCAATGAGATTTAAAAAAAAAAAAAACAAAGAATTCAGTAGACAAGATAAGTTTCAATTGTAATTCTTTATTGAGATTACACACGAAAGTAACCAATCTCACATGGTACATGTATGTAAACGCAGTATATATTTATATGTGTTCATAAACAATATTATACATTGTATATATTTATATATGTATAGAAATCTAATTTATAGGCAGTGACATCGGGAAGGTCTGGCTTGTCAGTTATATACATTATTTATTATCAGTGTTAATTTCTAATTGCAAGTCATCGTGGAAGAATAGAATTAGTTCCTATCATTTTAAATTAAATAAATTGCATTTTGATGGTCTCAATATATAAACACAGCGACTGAAAATGTCCAAATCTTAAAAGGTCATTCACAGCCCGATAACCATTCTGATGACATAGAAAACTCCCTTCTGGGGTCACACTCGTAAGGAAAGTAAATAAACGCAATAAAATAATCAATGGGGAACTAAAGAAAGTGAAATCAATGTATTGGGTCTTTAACTGGAAATAAGATTGGCATGAAGCACACTCAGTCTAGAGCAGAGCGTTTAGAGAAAAAAAGACTAAGACGCTCTCTCACATGGTAGACACGGACATGGCAGTTTTTGATGAACAAGCTAAATGGGAACATCATTAATGTTCAGATAAAAATCCAACCTGTATTACTGCATAAAGTAGATTTGTTATTAGTTGCTTCCATTTTTGTCTACCACCACAGAGGTTTTTATATTGATATATAAACTTTTGCTGGCCTATCAAGGAACAGCAAGAGGCTTTCAAAATATATATGTAAAAAATAAATAAAAAATAAATAAAACTAATACTCAATTCAAGCAATGATCGCTCTATTTAAAGTCTAAGGAACACAAGCTTTCAATATCTATTTATAACACTCTTGTAGAATAGATGGGAAGGGCAAGCTATGAACAACATAGACTACATTAAATCTAATAACCATTTCACAGCCCTGCCTAAAATAGTCACCTCGTGGTGTGAATATCTAGATATTTCAGTCAGCCAATCAGTATAGTGCCCTGCTACCCAGTAACTGCTAGGAACAAGCAATTACTATGCAAAGGTTCTACCGTGTCCAGCGGAAAACGGTTTACATTTAAGGGTACTAGTCTACCACGTACTATGTGTTTGTTTCAAAACAAGGGCACATGAGTATGCCTTTCTGTTACATAAGTTGTATTTCCCTGCATTTAAAGAGACATCATATTCACCAAAACAACTTTAGCTTGC